GAATCGGACCGGAGGTCCTCGCAGAACCGAGTGTCTCGCGGCTGGAGCGATGTGTGTCCTGGAGTCATCGCGAGAGTCGGAAATGCCTTTCTGCTTGTTGATTTGGAACGTGTGAGAAAAATCGAATTTTCAAGGCGTATTCATTGTCTCCTTGACACGCGCGCAGGAGAAGATCCTTGAAGACCCCCCGACGTCTCTCGCGGCTTGATGAGCCTTTCATAGAGGGATGTTGTAAGAATGATCGCGTTCTACACCCTTGAAGCGAATCAGCCAAGATATTTCTCTCGCTCGAGCAATCTCGCCGACTACCGGCGAGCGTTCGCTAATTTGCGGCAAACGCCGATACGAATTCCACGAGGAATTGTAGAGCCCCGTCATTTGCGGAGCGCTTTGGTGGGTTTTAGTGATTCGAGTGAAAACGCCTCTGATTGGAATCGGTGAAAGGAGAGTATCTCTCGCGCTGATAATCTCGCGCTCGCTGAGTTAATTGCCCCGGGAACGCTCTCGCATCTCGCCGACGCTTCGGAAAGAAGCAATTCCGCCGCCGCGAAATCTCCGGCTGCATAAATTCGTTACACGCTCTAGCCAGCCGAGAAGAGCGTCCAGTTCGCGTTGTTCCGCGGCGATGGAATTGACGGGCGCTCCGCGCGCGCGTCTCGCTTGGCTCGCGGCGGCGCGCAATTTTACATCCGCGCGCTGCGTCGATGATGGTAGCAGCCGCTGCTATCTAATCGATCCCCCGAACGGGGATCTGCTGATCGCGCAGCGTTATACTTACGAGCGAGCCGCCAGACTATAATATCGCAATGGAAACACCCCGCGAGATCGTGCTTTAGAGAGGCACCGGCGTGTGTCGCTCGGCGCATTGTGCGGCGCGTTTGCATTTCCCCTGCCGACTACCTCGCGGAAATTATCGCGACGCGGCTCCGCCGCTAACAGCGCAGCGCATTTCACGCGGGCAGAAAAGCCTTTTACGAGCGGGAAATGCCGCGGGGAAGTGCTTCGCCGAACGCGAACGGACGACGACGACGACGACGACGACGACTACTACGAACTGTCGTCCGCTTCATCTCGAATGAACTCCCACCGAAAACCGAGCATTCTCTCTCTCTCTCTCTCTCTCTCTTTCTTCCTCGCTCCCTTGATTACCGGTCGCGTCGAAATCCAGTTGCGCGAGCAGATCGTATAACGCGCCCCTTTCGACGATCTTTACGTCTCCCAGGTGACGTCGATCTTCCATAAGGCGACGTAACGAACATTCCTTTACGAGAGGAAACGCCGCGCTGGCAGAAGCGACGGCGGGAGCAGGTCGTGTGCAACCTGGACGCGTCATTTCCGACGACTAACGCTTCGCGAAGCGGGCTGGAAGTTGATCGAACGAGGGGGTGGACGGGGCTGGGAGCAGGAAGAGGAGCGGGGGGAGGGACGTTATCCGCCGCAGAGCCGTAAACCTCGAAGGAGCTTGTAATAACGATAAAACACGACGAGGAAGCCTGGCCGAGCGGGAAAGCCTTCCACCTCCCCCCCCCCTCCTCTCTGTCTTTCTCTCGCTCGCTCTCCGCTTCTCGTTTGTGTGCTCGAGTCGACGAAGTTGGGCCGGAAGTAGTAAACTCGCCCGGAACCCAGGAAGCTCGCGCGTTAACTTTGCTCGTCGGACACCCTTAAAATATTATATACACGTGGCTGGACTTAGATTGGTCCGTAAGGCCGCTCGCGCGGCCTCACTCTCGGGCTTTGCTCCGCTAAACGCCCCCAGCCCCCGTTGCCGCCTTTCCTCTTCCCTCCCCCTCCCCCCTCCCCGCCCCTCTCCGGAACCCCGCGGGCGCTTAAAAATCAATTTGCACGCGGAAGCTTTCCTGATAGCGCGCGCCGCTATTAATTTCCTGTAGCGCCGCGCGCGACCCGCGGTGATATCTGATACCGTCATCTTCTTTATTAGCCTTTAACCTCAATAATGTAATAGCCGGCCGTGTGTGCGTTACGATTCAGCGCCGGTCGCCGGGTTTTGCCGGGGCGTATGGGGGAGGGACGAGAGGAGCACCGCGGTGCGACGCGACGCGTCGCTCTCGGGAATTCGCGGCGAGAGAGTGACGAGAATTCAACGATAACTTTTCTCTCTATCTCTCTCTCTCTCTCTCTCTCTCTTTCTTTCTTTCTTTCTTTCTCTCCCTCACTCTCTCCCCGTGTCTGAAGACACGGGAGCCGCACGGAAAAGGATCGCTCGCTGCAATGCCGCCGTGCGGCTCGTCGAGCGTCATCGCGCCCGGTCGCGCGGATCGAACGACTTCGGCGGCGAGAGAGCGGACGTATCGCGAGACGAAGCGATCCTTTCGGAGAAGCTGCCGCATTCCCGTCACCGGAAGCCACGGTTATAAAGTGCTAGGGACAGCGAGTTACCTCGATGTCAAGGCCACGCCAGGACGAAAGCCTATCGCCTAAAGGGAGGAAAAGAGACAGAAGAGAAAGAGAAAGCGAGCGAGAGAGAGAGAGAGAGAGAGAGAGAGAGAGAGAGAGAGAGAGAGAGAGAGAGAGAGAGAGAGAGAGAGAGAGAGAGAGAGAGAGACATAGAGCACCCCTGTCCCTCTCACCGGCGAGAATGTAGAGACGTAGAGGGTTAGGGAACGAGGGGGCTGCTCTGAAGAGAGGAAGAGAGAGAGAGAGAGAGAGAAGGGGTGAGGGAGAGAGTCGGTTGAACATCGATCGTGGCTGGCCATGTTACGGGCGTATGCGCGGGGTCGCACCGGTCTGGTGCGGCGGCTTTCCCGGTTCCGGGCTCCCGAAAGCACCCCCCGCCCCCGCCCCCGGTCGAGTTCTCGCTCTACGGTAATTCTCCGGCTGATGAGGGAACCCTGTTCTCTCTCTCTCTCTCTCTCTCTCTCGTTCTCGCTCTCGCTCTCTCGCACACACACACACACACACACACACACACACATTCGCTCGCTCACTCGTCTCTTTCTCTCTTCCACGTAATTCTCCCTCGAGCTCGCGCTCGCCGCGAGCGTCTATTTATTTTAACGACCGACTAATCCACTACGTGCGCTTCGCCTTTTTGCTCGTTATCGGCAGCCTGCGAGGGGTTACACTGCTCATGCTATAACGGTCGAAATTGTTCTTCGGGGTTCGGCTCGTCGGGGCCGACGACAGCCGCGGGAGTCTCTCTCGATATGCTCGCTGCTCTTCCGAGTGGATCCGAATATTCGAACCGCGAATTTCTTGCAAATGTCCAAGCGATGCGGACGCGTCCGGGTGTCTGTCGCGGTCTGATCGGCCGAGTCAGCGCGTAGCGAAATTTCTGAATAGTTTCTCCGTCAGAAAAGTCGTTCCATTCAACCGAACATTGTTTCCGTGCGCGATCTTGTAAAGTTATAAAATACATGAGACACGACAAGTCACACTTGCTCGAGCGCGCAGTGTGTATGTACGCTTTGGCACGAAAATATACCGCTCGAGTTTCCTCCTCGGGGGGAGGGGGGAGGGGTTTCGTTACTTTGCTTGCGTATGAGAGAAAGAGCGTTCGGGCGTTAGATAATTGCCGGCGTCTCGTCGCTGAATTGAGAGCAGAAGCACCACTCGAAGCAATCTCGACGCGTCGTTCGTCGCGCGCGATATCGCGCCCTTCCGACGCCGCTCGCCATCGTCGATTGCGGAATCGCGGTTTGCGGAAAGAAGAGCCCCGAGCGGATAAAATTATTGCCGGAGAGGGCGGCGATGAGTTATCGTCGGCGATTGTTACCGGTTGTATCGCATCGGGGTCATAATTTTACGGAAGATTCGCGGGGCGGTTTGCTCGTCGTGGATCAACGGCCGGAGGGTGGCTTTCGCTCTCCTCTCTCTCTCTCTCTCTCTCTCTCTCTTTCTCTCTGTCTCGCTGGGGCGAGTTATTTACCGGACTGGAAACCACCCGCGCTTCTAATCCCAAATAAAAACATTCGGCGGCAGCCCGGAACAGCTCACCCTTCATCGTGCCCACTCGTAAAGGACGGGCTTCCGCTTGCCAAGAGATAAACGTCGAAACGCTCAAACTCACGTTTAAACTCGGGGTTATGGATAGGCGTATTTATCCCTGGGATCATTGAGCACCCCGCGCGAAATTTAGGTATCCGCCGTATCGGTGACCGGAAAAACATGCCCGCAGAATGATAAAGTTGACGGGAAAGGGGGGGAAAAAAGCGCAACTGCGATTTTTTCCGATAGAACCCCCCCCTCCCCTTCGCGATACGTGTGCATAATAGTGTAAACGTAAAAATTCGGACTCATCCGTAGAACGTGCGGACGCTTTTTCCACGAATAGATCGGATGTCAGGACGAATTTCCCTCGGCGATATCGAGATGTTGATATTTATTTTATTGAGCGCGTCCGCTAGCGAGTTCCTTCTTCTGTGCGAACTGAATTTCAGCACGGTGAAAACTGCGAGGGAAAATATTGGTGGACACGCACCGTCCGCGAAAATCAATATCTGGAAATTCGTGAAGTAGGACGACTGATTATCATTATTATTACTATTATTGTTATTAGTTTCATTTGTGTCCGCGGGAATAAATTCGCTTTGGCACAAAGGGCACAAATTGCACAGAATATTCTCGGTTTTAACGGCCAAATTGCGCCGCTGTGTGTTCTACGGATAAAAGTAAGGGACAAACGTTACGTGTACGTATGTGTCGTCCGTAGAAGCTTTGTTTTGCAAAAAATTTGCAACGAAAAAATGATGAAACATACGGCGAATAAAAGAAATTCGCTCTTATTAATAATTTCGTTTTTATCGTGATTTCTTAATATTCCACTTCAAAATGTTGATCAATTCGGTCCAATATCGATGATGATTGATGATATCGTAGAAAAATGGAATTAATTACCTTACGAATTGCATGTTGATCGTTTTATTTCTGTTTCCTAATTGAGTGTTAATTGAGGGTTTAGTTGTCGACGACACGCGTGAGACGCGATCGACTACGTGTGATCGGTGATTTACAAATGTGGCTTTTTTTCCGTCTCGTTGCAGGAGTCTGTGCGATCACGCGTGGCGATGGACTTCACCGGTAGTGTGGGCAGGATAGTCGAGGATCCGAAGGAAGCCAAGGACATAGCCGAGAACGAGGGCATAATCTGGCGACGGAGATGGCGGCCGTTCTCGCGAACACCACCGGGTTGCGCTATGGTGAGATTGCACGGCCTCGACGGCGGTATACACGTTCTTCAGCCTTGGTTCCATGGCGGCCTCAAGAGAGAGATCGCGGCGGCTATAATAAGGGATCACGGCTCCGTCGACGGGTAAGTTCCACTTAATTCTTTAGCCATTTTCTTACAAACGTTTTACTTTGCTTGAAAATTTTTATTTGGCATTTCAATTTCTTATCTAGCATCTCCCCTCGTGATACTTAGGATCACTTAAATATTCCTTAGTAACGTTTAGATAAATATATGTCTCTATAATTATCTTAGGACGATATCCTCCAAGGATGTTTTTTTTTTTTTTTTTTTTTTTTAAGAACCTTAATGTAAAAAAGAAGTAGGTACAACAGAGTAAAGATTTGACGAAAAATTGTCTGGTCTAGAAGAATCAACAAATAGAAGAAAAAAAAATGCGCGCCTATAAAATACATGCTATTAAAAGAAATATGAATGAAAAGTTGAAAAAAAAATATAAATGAAAAATTAAAATAAAGAAGAAAAAAACGAAATTAACAAAAAGAAAGATCTACGAGAGACGAACGCCTCTTCAGGATCGAAGCGCACAATGAGAGGTGATAAAATAAGTCGACAAAAATTTCAACAAATCAACAACGGAGTTGCGAGCATCCGAATAAAAAATGCGATAAGCGTTTCATCAACGAAATGCCAAAACTAAATATTCCAAGGAAACACGACACCCTCGGTCCCCGGGGAACTTTCGCCGAGGACGAATCCGACTGGAAGGATACGACTGTAAATTTCGACCTATCGCTCCTCCGTTCGCGCGCGCGCACGCCGCGTATTCGAGGAGCAGCGCTGCTTGAAGCTCACCTCGGGACATTGGGCGATCTTTAATCGCGGTTTCTCCGGTTCTCCGGGTCTGGCAGTTAATTTTCGGTGTTCCGAGCGAGACCGCTCTCGATCGCTCGCGTCCGCGGATTAATCGACCGAGTGTGTCGTCGCCGCGGCATCGCAACGGTTCTCCCGAACGCGCAACGCGACACGACGCCTGCTCGCTGCCTCGCTCCCTCCCTTGCCTCCCCCCTGCCCCGAAAATCTCGATCGCGTCGATGCTGGCGATGATAACCGTCATCATCCGGGCTGGAGGGCTTGCCTCTCGCGAACCGGTTGAGAGTTACGACCTCGAAGCTGCCGCGCGCGCGCGGGCGACACGCCTGGCTGATGCTTGCGTAATTCTCATCGCGATTATTACGGGCGATCGTAAATCACGCTGAATTCCTATCGAATATCCTCCGTTTCCACTCGTCCGCCCACTCGCCTCTCTTTATTATCTTAGTATCTTATTATTTGCTAATCCCCTCGCGCCTGTTCGCACGTTTGAATTTTAATGCCAACACCGCGGAGAACGAGGAGGAGGAGGAGGTTGCTGAACGCTCCTCCTCGTTTGCTTATGCATGCCGCTTCGCTCTCTGCTACATTTTAATGGCTACGCTAATGATAATACGCGCGCCTCTATACGGACTGTCGAAATACGAAAACATTACGTAAAGGATACATCATACGCGCGTGCGAAAGTCCGGAGGAGGAGACGCGTCGGAGGAGGAAAAGGCCGAAGCTCAGCAAACGACTCGGCTCGGCGAATGATAGCCGGCGAAAATAACTACCGCTGTGACGGAGTTCCTTTGAAGCGGCAATAAGTCGATTATTTATTCATCCGCTCTCCCGGGCCCGACATGCGCATTGTCACGGGATCGCGTATCATTTCTGCGTTGGATTGATAATGACGGGTTGCTTGGTGATTTTCAAAGTGAATGTAACGAATCGATCAGGCAAATAAGAGCCGCACGTTGATGCAACAACCGCGCGGCGCGGCAATTTTCATTGAATAATGTACCGTGTTAATATATCGTATTATATACAATACCAGAAAGAGAGGGAGAGAGAGAGAGAGAGAGAGAGAGAGAGAGAGAGAGAGAGAGAGAGATCGTATCACGTAGCTTTAGGATAAATCCGCAGCGCAGTGCAAATTTATATATCGCAACGATTGATGAATTCGTTTGCTCGGGTACCTTTTCAACCGGCCAATATAGAAATTTATGATTATAACGTAAAATAAATGTCCCTTAATGATACAAGCACGCGCTATTATATCTCCTCAGTGGAAGCTGACCAATCCTCGAGAAACGCGAAATTTCGTTGTGTGGAGCGAAGTGAAACGGAGTGAAGTGAAATAAATCGTGCGATCATCTCCCTCTTTCCTCTCCCTCGATCGTTCTCTCCCTCACTTTCTTCTTGTGCTTCTCTGCTCTCGCCTTTACCTATGCCGCCTCGTCTTGAACCGAATCCATCGCCGCGACCGCATTGACCCTCGCATTTGACTTCTATTGACCCGGTGACCCCAATGAACGTTACACGTGTGAACGTGTCCTTGAGAGAGAAACGTCAGAAAAAAATTACCGATATCGCCGATTAAATTTCATTATATTCGCACAAAGGTAATTGTCCTCTCCTTTCCCCTCCTTTCCGTCCACTCTTCCGTCTCTCTCTCTCTCTCCCTCCCTCCTTCGTTGCCAGCGTGCTCTCCACAATGCGAACGAACGAGCGCTTTTGAAAAATTCCTCCGGTTGAACACCGCGAGCGTTCCCATTCGGAACTTGTTTCCTCAAAAACTCCGGGTCACAAGCGCCCTCAGCGCGTGCCAGTATGAATTATACACCTACTCGCGCGAGAATTCTACTCAAACTGTAACCACAGTCTCTCCGAATTCGCCCATCACTCGTGCGAACCGCGTGCCCGTCAAACCTAATAGCGACAAACAAACTGCGCAGCTCTTTTGCAATCACGTTTCCCCAAACTCCAACAGTGGTTACATATCCGTGATAGCTTTTCTCTCGTTCTTTCCCGCGACGACTGCGACGCGTTTTCCGACGGCCGAGTCTTAGAGAGCGCGATGATGAACGTGACTATCCATCTCTCTCTCTCTCTCTCTCTCTCTCTCCCTCTCTCCACCCGCGCTCCGTCTCCGGCTCCTCCTTCGAGGAATTACACGTTCTTCGCGAGGGTGTCGCGGACTCGTCAGCGTTCGTCCATCGGCGATGACACCGTCGGCAAGCGAGCCGAGGAATTCCTCTCGCGGAGTGGCGCTTCGTCGTCCGCGGCGGCGGTCGCAGGCCGCCGGTTTGTCGCTCTCGCGATCTCATTTTTTATTTGCCGAACTGGCGCGGCGCCGGGAATCGCGGATAAATGGTTAATTAACTACTCTCTCTCCTCCATCTATCTCGTCGCGCTAACCCTCGGGGTAATTGAGTGCTCGGGGATCACGTAGTTGTCTCCGGGTTTTACGTTCGTTCAGGGGCCCTTGCATAAATTTGCATAATCTCGATCTCGTAGCCACCTCGCCGCCCCTTTCTTCCGCCTCCGCTCCCCCCCTCCCCTCCCCGGCCTGCGACATCGTTGGAAAAAGAGGAGAGAGCAAGAGGGAGAATGGAGTCCTGCCTCGTCGCGCTCGTGAGCTCTTCCCTCCTCGTTGTCTCCTGCAGAGAATTCCTCCGCAGGTCGAATCCCTTGTCTCTCTCTCTCTCTCTCTCTCTCTCTCTCTCTCTCTCTCTCTCTCTCTCTCTCTCTCTCTCTCTCTCTCTCTCTGGGCCGTCTCTTGTCACAGTCGTCGTCGTTAGCCGCGAAAAACTTTCTAATCGATTGCACTCCGGGCACTGTCTGCTGTCTAATCGTCATTCTCTCTCCCTCTCTCTCTCTTTCTCTCTCTCTCTCTCTCTCTCTCTCCCTCTGTCTGTCTGTCTGTCGACGTAGCCGAAGTCTCGGGTAGCTCGAGATAGAGCGCAGGAGCGCGCTATATCCCGACGACACACGGGCTCCTTTGTAGCACGGGCCGTAACGTCGTTATCCTAACTCGGGGTAGCAGTCCTCGGGCATTACCGTAGTCCGCCAGGACTACGAGTTCCAACCGCCGCTGCCGCCGTCGCCACCTCCAGCCCCCCCCTCCTCCCCTGCACCTCCGCCTCCGTCAGCACACCGGTGTGTTATCTGGCCGGCCGGTGATACGCGGACGCGAGTACTCGCTCGCATGAATATTCCATCGGACGAGCGGGGTTGATAAGAGGCGATAACCGGACATTTGTGCAAACGCGTTATCGTCCGTGTTATATATGAATAATATGGACGGGAGCTTGATTGGTCGAGCGCGCGCGATACCGTATGCGCGAAAATTCATCCACCAGCGCTCCCACTCCCTCCTCCGCCCCTTTTCTCTCTCTCTCTCTCTCTCTTTCCATTTTTCTTTTTCTCCTCTCCCGGCCAGGATTTCACGAAGTAAAGTCACCAGGAAGGAAGAGAAGCAACATTGCGCGCGGCCACCATTCGCCGGAGTTTTACGATCGCGTGACCGCGTCACGACCGTTTTACGACGCGACTCTCTCTCTCTCTCTCTCTCTCTCTCTCTCTCTCTCTCTCTCTCTCTCTCTCTCTCTCTCTCTCTCTCTCTCTCTCTCTCTCTCTCTCCCTCTCCTCTCTCTCTCTCTCTCCTCTCTCTCTCCCTCTCTCTCTCTCTCTCTCTCTCTCTCTCTCTCTCTCTCTCTCTCTGCCTCTCTCTTTTTCTCTTTCTCTTTCCCTTCCTCCGCAGCATCGTAACCATCCGGCCGCCCGACCGGTCCTGTCATCATTGTTGCATCCCCTGATCTCCATCTTCCTCCCTCTCCCACTCACAATCCTTTCTCTCACTCCCTCCCCCACCCTCTTTCTCTTTCTTTCTCTCTCTCTCTCTCTCTCTCTCTCTCTCTCTCTCTCTCTCTCTCTCTCTCTCTCTCTCTCTCCCTCTCCCGCAGACGTTTCTTTAATCGTTTTGCTCGTCTCGCGCTGCCTTTTACGACCGTACTAATTTATACCACGCGATACGCCCGGACGAAAGCCGTTGGCTTCGTCGTCCTTCCTGGTATCAGGCGCATCTAACACTCGACGGCGGCACCGGCATACTGACGACGCAGCCACCGGGTGCTAGATGCGTTTGATCCGCCTGCAAAAAGTGACCCACCAGCCGAATCTGCCGGCTAGTGCTGCGCGGCAGACACCGACTGTCCGTCTCAACAGTTTTTAATCCCTGCTGCATGGCGGCGGAGCCGCAGGAGCAGGCGCGCAGAGGCAGGGATCTTGGAGCGTATACGTGCATGCGAATCATCGGAAATATTTTTAGATAACCGTCACGCGCCGCTGAAAGTTGCAACGCGGGACGGTATACACGTGGCGACGACTTTTTTTTTTTTTTTTTCACATATGCATGAGATGTACCGGAGCGTGCACGGGGGAAAAAGGTCGAAGTTTACGTGACCATGAGCGAGGCAAATGCATTTTAGCTGAGAATTTTTAGCTCTCTTGCGAACTAAATTCTCGGCCTTAAGAAGCAGAAATTTCGGGTTCAGAGAACTGAAGGGAGCGAGATTTTCGGCTTATAAAATCGAATTTGGTCTGCACAGAGCGAGAATTTATTAAATGCTCGTTGCTTCCTATTTGCAGTATAAGTTTATTGGTAATCTTGAATAAAAAATAAACTCTTCTTTCGTGAACACATGATGATGAGGCTTTCTTAGAATTTCTAGTGAGTATACAATTATCGAGAAAGTACTCTCCCTTGGATATAATCATTACTCGAGAGAAAATAAACCGGGTAATCGCTTTTCTCAGCGGCTAAAGATAACCGTTGCTCAAAGATAGCCATTACTCGAATGAAAGTAAACCGAGCGGTCGCTTTTTTCTCTCCTAGCAGTAGAATGAAACTTCTTCTCCGCGCGAGAGAGCCGCGCGGATTCTGTTTTCTCCGCTCAAAACGCGCGTGTGCCTCGTTCATTGTCACCTTTTTTAATTCAGCTTTTTCCCTCTCTCCTTGTGCGGCGTGTAATTTTAATTATTTACGGCCATGTCGCGTGTGTGGTTACTTGTCTCGGCCGGATGGAAATCCTCGTCGCCGTCGTCGTCGTCGTCGTCGTCTTGGGCACTTTTACGTGCGATTGAGAAATAAATTTAACGAGAGGAGTAAATCAAGTTGAATTAAGGTTGACGCGGTTAACAGCCTGTGTAAATATCCCGCCGTGACGCATGGAATTCTCACGAAATCCTCCTCCGTTCTGTCGGTTGCAGCGTGTTCCTGGTCAGGGAGAGCAAGAGCAATCCGGGAGCCTACGTGCTGACCTACAAGTACAGCGACAAGGTCTTTCATGCGCAAATCCAGCCGGTAAGTATCCGCGCTGTGATCGATAATTAGCGACAAGTGGCGGCGGATCCTTCGCGGTCGAGTTAACTTCGCGGCGATTAAACGCGTCTAGACGGAAAAGTTTCGCCTCTTCTCCCCCTCGCCGCCCGCTCTCCTCCTCTCCCCCCCCCTCTCCCACCTCCCGATCGTTTGCTTTAAAGCCCCGGGGCTATGGGTTATTGGGCGGATTGCCAGTGAAATCCCACGAGATACGCCCAAAGATACGCGTTCGATCCTCCGCGATCTGAATTAATTCCGCCGAAGTGAGCCGCTGAATTAAACATTCCGCTCCCCGTGGGCGTTATCCGACCCGCGATAATCAATTCCCGATATTTCGATTATTTCACGGAGATTCGATAAGACGATAGATAGTCCCCGTCCGCCTCGTCTTCGCAAACGAAAACGCTCACTTGGGCGCTCGCGACGGGTTGCCGCCGTTCATTGATACACTCTCGAAGCTTCACGAGCTTTGGTGCAATTCGACGTTCGCGTAATGACTCGGAATAATTTGTCGATTACTCGGAGATTCCAAATGTGTGTCGAAGCTCCTTAGTGTGCCCAGTTTCGTTTCTTTCCTCTCCAAAGGCGCGCGCGTATTTTCGAATTCTTCAGGTTCCGAATATTCAAATGTCCCAGTAATATTTACACTTCGAAATTGCACTCTTCCTTTTAATGTGGCGAAATGAGTGTTGTAAAGCCAAGGGAAGAAAGAAAATCCTGTGCTCTGCCGTATATTGTCATGATCTATCGATAATAATATTTGCCAACACTTTCGCATTTGGAAATTTCGTTATAACGAGTACAACGAAGCTTGAGAGAAGCTTCAAAGTAGCGAAGCCTCGAGTATCATTCACGGCCGACAGAGCGCACCTCCTTCTTCACGTATCTTCACGTCGACCGCGTTTCTTCCAGGTCTTCGACGAGCGCCGCAATTGCTGGCTGTACACCCTGGACAAAGGGGCGACCAAGTTCTACGATCTGCTGCAGCTGATCGAGTTTTACCAGCTGAACGCGGGCTCGCTGCCCACTCGATTGACTCACTACGTGCAGAACGGGGTGCCGCCGCCGTTGCCCAGGCCTGAGGACGGCGGCGCGTCTCCTTCGCCGCCCGAGGGCAGCCAGCGATTCAGCGACAAGGCCGAGTGCGGCAATCCAGCGAGCATTTGAGTATAGGACAGTCGGCGACCCGCTGGTGTTGTCGACGACGATCGCCTGCTCACCGCTCCCACCACCACCGCCCCCCTCACCATCACGGACAACGTGGTGTTGGTGCACCATCGCGCCAGCAGCAACCGCCTGGGCAACCACGGCGACGACGGTAACGACGACGACGACGGTGGCGGCGACGGGAACGGGAACGGCGGCGACGTCCGCGCGACACGATCGGGTTGCTGGAGCCTGTGTCTCTGCAGTTACAACAAGTGGGATTTGTAGCGCGCGATCAGCGGCCGGACTGCCGGTGCTCCTCGGCGGTGCTCAAGCGCGCGAACCAGCAGGACAAGAAGAGCCGGAAGTAGACGGGGAAGCAGGAGCGGAAAGAGTAGAAGAATAAGAAGAAGAAGAAGAAGAAGAAGAAGAAGAAGAAGAAGAAAAAGAAGACGCGAGCGAAGAAGCAGAGAGAACGAAGACGAGAGCGTCGAGCTTGAGCGTCCAACCGTCGAGACGTCCTCGGATCGCGGTTCTTTCTATGCGGAGCGACTTGTGTGTTGTATGACGTCACTGGGTCGGCTGACCCGTGCAACAGAACGACCAATTTGGGCGCGAGGCACGCGATCGGAAGTAGAATCGCCGGGAGAAGAACCGCAGGATCGCTGTCGTACGAAATCATTCGTTTTTTTTCACCGCCAACACCATCACCACCGCCATCGCCACTACCACCATCACCATCACCACTACTACCACCACCACCACCACCATGCCATCCTTGATTTCTCACATTCGTTCCGTTGTCGTTCCGCGCAACGCGCGGTCAGGTGTCGACCGAGAGAGCAGCGCGGCTGTATGCCCGCCGACAGCGATCCTCACGCGGAAACGGAAACCTCTTCGATGTTTTTAATCGTACGTTATTGTATTAGTCGTGTAAGGATCGTCCCACGAGACGATCGTTGGTCCATCTTGTCGTCTAGACGCACCTTCCCCGGCTCCCTTCTTCATCCGTAAGATACCCATACACACGCACACACATACACACACACACACACCATGTACACGCCGGTTTCTCAACGACAAGTGCGTCTAGACGGTCGAAGGTATCGTGTAATCTGTTTTTCTTTTGTTCTTTCCATTTTTTCTACATGTCCACGTCCGATGTGTGTCCATCGTGCGTGTGCAACAACTAGATTTATCGTAACCTCGCGACGACGTCGTCGCCGTCGTCGTCGTCGTCGTCAACGCCGTCGCCAGGTTATTTCGCAAAGAGAGGAAGGGAAAAAGAGCGCGATTACGCGCGCGTATATGAATGATGCGTGTTGTGCGTGTCGTGTGTGCATGTGAGATTGCGAGAGCGGATGAGAGAGGGAAGTATCGTCGCGTGAGGTACGATATAGTTCGCGCTACATGCGCCAGCAATACCCGAGGAACACGAACACAAAGTTCAGAGTCTTTTTGCGTGTGTGAGAAAGAACGAGAGAAGGAGATAAAGAGAGCGAGTGTATGAGTGAGAAAGAGTGAAAGAGGAAGGTCGAACGAAAGAGAGAAAGAAAAGAGAAGGTGTGTGCGAGTAGGATTAATTAGGCGCGTGATTTCCCTCTCCCCTACTCTCTCCTATTTTTTCTTCATCGTTTTTCCCCCCTTTTGGCGCGCGTCGCATCTCCCAAGCATCTCTTCTTCCGTTCAGTTGTTTCTCCGAAGAGAATGCGCGACAGGGTGAACTGCGCCGCTAGCTACCACGACTTTGTTTCCCGACGACGATGACGACGAGCTTAAAAGAAGAAGGTGAATCGGCCAAGTCGAGAGAGGGAGAGAGTGAGAAAGTGTGAGAGAATGAGAGGAAGAGAGTGAGAGAGAGAGAGAGAGAGAGAGAGAGAGAGAGAGAGAGAGCAAGTGAGAGAGAGAGAGAGAGAGAGAGAGAGAGGGAGGGAGGGAAGAAGAAAAAGAGTTTGTACCGAAGCGTCCGTGTTCCGTTTATTAGCCGTAAGCTTTGTCCAGCAAAAAGATCGAGATCGTTCTTGAGGGAGACGAACGGTCCGAGTAATGTTCAGGTTCGTGATTCATTCCCAAGGTCCAGCGTGTTCAAAATTTAAGCGAGGCAGCTTCATCGACGGGGCACGAGGAGAAGGGAAATAGCACAGATTTTTTTTCTCACAGGAGTATCGAGAAAGAGTGCATCGCGCCTTGTGTTACGAAATTCTTTTATTACGGCGGCTCGTGTATTACGGCGAGCCGCGGAAACGGCGCGCGAATCGACAGAATCGATGCGACAGAATGAAGCGAAAAGCTTACACACACATATACACACTTTAACGAATCTAGGAGACACAATACGATTAGCGTAAGGGATCCTCGACGTTTGCGTACGTCGAGGGCCGAGGGACGCGCTCGCGGATTCTTCTAGCAGAGAAATCTGGAAGCATGCCCCTCGGAAGACATGATCTCATATGTTACAGACGTTTCAGTTACGCGAAGCATTTGTTGATTAATACAAATTCGAAGAAGTTCGATTAATTACTAATAAAGTTCTATGCTAAGAGAACGTTGAAATAAGGGGATGAGAGAGAGAGAGAGAGAGAGAGAGAGAGAGAGAGAGAGAGAGAGAGAGAGAGAGAGAGAGAGAGAGAGAGAGAGAGAGAGAGAGAGAGAGAGAGAGAGAGAGAGAAAGGCAGGGAGGGAGAGAGAGGAGAGAGAGAAAGAGTGAAAATGAGAGGGAGAGAAAGAGGAAAGAGAGAGTGGGGGGAGAAAGAGAGAGAGAGAGAGAGAGAGAGAGAGAGAGAGAGAGAGAGAGAGAGAGAGAGAGAGAGAGAGAATGTGTGAAAACGGGAGAATGATGGCGCGTGTGTATATGTGTAAAGAGGCGAGAAATAAGGAAACGTAAGGAAGAGACGAGGTTGGTCAAGTCGTAAAACACAAAAGAGGTCTATTTAAATATAAAAAAAAAAAGTATATATGTATATGCATATTCTAAATTGTACGATTAATTTTATATTCGAGAATATTAGTAACACGTTCGAGGAGAGGAAATCGATGGTGTGAAGTTCGTGGATGTTAGCGTCACCGGAAACGTGAGCGTTGTCGTGCATTCTAGATTTATATATACGAAGGTTCTTCGCAACTAACGTTTTTTCAAGTAATAATGTGAAAGTGGTGTAAGATAAAAAGGTGAAGGAGAAGGAGGAGAAGAAGAAGAAGAAGAAGAAGGAGAAGGAGAAAAATAAGCGCGGGTCGGTGGAAGCTGGTGTGTGCAGGGTATGAACGTGAGAGAAGAAAGAAATTATTTACGCAATGTATTATTATTCGCCGAAAGAGAGAGTACCAAAACACCCCTCGTCCCTCCTCCCCATTCCCCATTCGTACCTACTTTTTAATAATATATTTTTTCATCGATTATTTATTTACCTTATCGTCGAACGCAGCGCCTGCGCGTCGTGTCTTGAAGTGGTAAACTTTCAAATAATTCGAAGAGGTGCAGATCTTAACTCGGATATGTAAACACACACCATAGACACGTACACACATCACTCACACACGACGTACATACATACATACACACACCAACACATTGCATTAAATTTTAGGATAGTAGCGCTTTATAGAACTGAATATTAGGATAACAAATTCTTCGTGAATGGGTATGAAACAATCTTTTGTAGAACGGTGGTCTCCAAACGTGGCGTTTATCCCCGACCCGTTTGCGTAAAATGCCTTCTCCCTCACACCCAACCTCTCCCTTCCCCCTCCTCGCCCCTTACGAAATTCACGTTAAAAGAAATCGAGTAACAAAATTACCTCTCGGAATACGCTTATTGCGACAAAACTGTCCTTTCGGCCTTTCGTGTAAATATGTCTATTTAGGCCAAAAACCCCGATCCCCATCTCCATCCCCGTCCCGTGTCCCGTCTCACCCCCGTGGCTCGTCGGCAATTTGAAAATCAACTTTGATAGCGGTTAATCAATCTTGATTTTTCAAGTCGGCACCGCGGCTATTCCCGTTCCCGTTTCCCACGGGAATCCCGTCCCCCCCGTTCCATTCACCTCCTCCTTTCTCTCTCTCTATCTCTCTCTATCTCTCTCTCTCTCTCTATCTCTCTCTCTATCTATCTATCTATCTCTCTCTCTCTCTCTCTCTCTCTCTCTCTCTCTCTCTCTCTCTCTCTCTCTCTCTCTCTCTCTCTCTCTCTCTCTTTATGCCTGTCTTTATGATCCGAAAACCGAACGGGAAACGAGACGGACGCCGGGTCTTCGTGGCCACCACACAGCGTAAAAAGCTATAAATATTATTATGATGATTAATTAACGATATAAATTATAATAAAATATATTTTGTATTAATGTAGTCACGAATTAATAATACGGCAAACGCAGTGGTCTGTGAGACTGAATCTAAGTAAAAAAAAAAAAGGAAAAAAAAGAAAAAAAAACGCAATTAGTCCTGTGCGAATTTCATCGACGTCTGTTAAGAACAATAAAATGAACAGGTAGCGGAACGTTAACAATTGTGTTCTCATTTCTATCCCCGGACAGTGTGTTTCGTTGGTGCGATTGTATCTCTCGGTTTCTTTTCCTTTCGTTCAATCTCGAGAGCTCCGTTTCTTTCTTTTTCTAAACGCGTTATTGGCAGATTTAATTGGTTTTTAATCGGGCTTGCACCTGTCTGTGTCGCGACTTTGAGATTATATTATTTTGCCGTTCTGTTTCTCTCTCTCTCTCTCTCTCTCTCTCTCTCTCTCTCTCTCGATCGCCGTAAAAGCTGCGGCCAGTTACAAGAAGAAATGCTTGTGCTCTCTCGCGCGTACACGATGGAATACCGCAGACGTTGATGAAACTCACATCTTCACTCTGGCAGGCGAATGATCCGACCCGGAGCTCGACGAAGCTTCGTCGGATCGCTTCCCAAGTCCAGTCAGTCAGTCGCACGAGTTTGATTGTACGAGCAGCGTAGACGTTGAAATTCTAACGAGTCTAACGAACGAGCGAAAGAGTAATGATAACGGCGGTAGCGCCGCCGCCAAGTGGTTCGCTCGCTTAGACGAAGAGTCGAAGCGTGCAAGTTTCCGGCCAGGCTTTTTGCTGTTGCACTCCCGTGCAATTTGCAACATGCAACAAAGGCAGCTTAATCCGTAGAGCACATATGCGTGTATAAATACGATTATATCACCGTCGCGATCACACCTACCTGTCGCGTCCACTATGGATTCTCCGAGCGGGAAGGGTGGGTGGGTGGGGGGGGGGAAGGGCAAAGGACGCGACCAATGGTCTCCGTCTTTTATCGGATACCACGATATATCGCGCGCGCGTTACACGTTTTCTTATATTATATATTTATATTATATATTTATTGTCGGATTCAAGTTATGGATTCAAGAGACAGTTTATTCGGTGGACATGCATTTCGCCGGAGGATGAGGATCTCGAGGTTCCGCAAGACCGATTTCCCGAAGAATCACGACACCGAGACGATATATCCCGAGGTGCGATTTTTCCTCGGAGTCGCGGTTCGCTCCGAGGAGAAGCTATCAGCTTGGCGCGGAGATTTGTTGGAACTTTTCTGTTCCACGTTAGACGTGTTAAAAATCCCGAGTCGGTGCTCCATCTGATTCACGTCACGGTGGCGTTGGTCCTTTGAATTCGGAGAGAATTTTCGTTTCTATTTTATTCGACGAACGAACCTTTCGCAGCGGCTTGACGTTACCTCCTCCCCCCCCCCTCCACTAATTTGGAGACATCGATTCGCCGCGATTACACAGAGAGTGGATGAATATGCATTCATTTGAGTACACTCCCGATATTCCGGTAAAGTTGCGTAATCTCGGAAGCGTATCGTCTCTCGGTGCTCGGTCTGTCAGCAGCGCGATTTTTCGGAGAGTCGCGCCACCCTTTACATTCCGCTGCATCTTCTTCCCCGGGACGAGATGCACGTTCACCCACTGATCCACCGTAAAGGGCTCCTCCGAGGAGCCATTCCTCGAGCGACTTTTCACAAAGCGCAGTTTCGAGCTGTTCACGATCGATCACAAGCGGAAGGGATTGTTTCGCGACATAGTTAAGTAAAGAAGATTTTATCGCTCGTTCGACGCGGACACTCCCTTTTCTCCGGGACTTTGATTCTGCGACTACGATGATATATACTCGATACTCGTTGATCCCGTTCGTCCGCGATTGCATTCGCGTTGGCGGGGCGTGGCGACGGGAAACGAGGCCGAGCTGGCGGAAATCGAGCGCGGGGGTGGGATCCTTCTCGCGATCACGTCCAGGATAATCGAATCTACCACACCGCGCGCGCACCCCCCCCCCCCGCCCGTGCGTCCACGAAGCGCGGTGCCGCGATAGTAATAAACAATCAATCTCGCGATCTCGCGAGCGAGTAGGCTTCGAAGCGACGGAGTGTTACGTGAGATCGCCCTGGTTGAAGAATCGCCCGAAAGTGCCCTTGTTCTGTCCACGCTTACCGAGGGGATGTATAGAAGCCAGTGGCGCCAATGGCGACACGTACGAGCCGTGCGAAGGAGAGCGATGCAAGTGACGCCAGTCTGATTGGGAGAGGAACGCGAAAGAAATCCGGAGGGACAAGATATCCGTGAAATTTCTTCGAGTGGAACCTGCAACTCTCTCGGTGCGAAGCAGCGACGAGCTCGAGCAAGAGAAGAAGACATTTTCGCCCAGCGATTCGAAACACGCCGGCCGGTGGCATCCTGACAGCGAGAAAAGTCTTCCCGAGCGTTTTCGAAAGTCCTCTTCGACCTCGACCTCGAGTGGTGAAGCTATTCGTCACTCGACGACTCCGAGCGAAGAGACTTCCCTTCGTGCAAGTGAAGAGTCCCTCGGAGCCCCTCGAGCGGTCACTCGGACCCGCGCGGAATTCCACTCGGAGACATTTCGGGGGTCGCTGAAGGCGCGCAAGATCCTCGCCGCTCCCGACGAAGCTCGGGCGACTTGCATCGGCCGCTGCGCCCTGCGCGGCTCAGGCTGCGGCTGACCAAGGGGAAACTGATCGATCGACAATCGCCGAGCGCGGCCGGCCGTCGGCGTGATGAATAATTTCGGCCAGCCGTGGTCGGCGCGCCGGCCAGCACGGCACGGCGCTACGCCCCCATATATCCCCATGAGAACGTTTCAGCCGGGCTGAAATGAGACGACGAAGCCGATC